CCATAAGTCACACGAACTTGAAATCTGGTATGCAGACATATCAATGGTAGGGGCTTATACGAGGGGATATATAAGCGAGTTTGTAAAAAGGGGCGTGGCACATCCATAGGCGTGGAATATTTTATCAGCTATAACTTCGGAACCATAAGTCACACGAACTTGAAATCTGGTATGCAGACATATCAATGGTAGGTGCTTATACGAGGGTATATATAAGCGAGTTTGTAAAAAGGGACGTGGCACATCCATAGGCGTGGAATTTTTTATCAGCCATAACTTCGGTACCATAAGTCCCACGAACTTGAAATTTGGTATGCAGACATATCAATGGTAGGTGCTTATACGAGGGTATATATAAGCGAGTTTGTAAAAAGGGACGTGGCACATCCATAGGCGTGGAATTTTTTATCAGCCATAACTTCGGTACCATAAGTCCCACGAACTTGAAATTTGGTATGCAGACATATCAATGGTAGGTGCTTATACGAGGGTATATCGATGGCTGAGTGGAAGATCGACCTATCTTGGCAGCCAGTTCGAAAACGCCCTATATCAGAAAATTTTTCAACATCGTTCTCNATTTATAAAGGAGTTTGTAAAAGGGGGCGTGGCACACCCCATAGGCGCGGTATTTTTATCAGCTATATCTTCGGAACCATAAGTCTCACGAGCTTGAAATTTGGTATGCAGACATATCAATGGTAGGTGCTTATAGGAGGGAATGTATAAAGGAGTTTGTAAAAGGGGGCGTGGCACACCCCATAGGCGCGGAATTTTTATGAGCTATATCTTCGGAACCATAAGTCTCACGAACTTGAACATCCATAGGCGTGGTTTTTTTTATCAGCTATAACTTCGGAACCATAGGTCACACGAATTTGAAATTTGGTATGCAGACATACCAATGGTAGGTGCTTATAGGAGGGTATATGTAAATGAGTTTGTAGAAGGGGGCGTGGCACATCCCATAACCGTGGAATTTTTTATCAGCTATATCTTCGGAACCATAAGTCCCACGAACTTGAAATTTGGTATGCAGACATACCTATGGTAGGTGCTTATAGGAGGGTATTTATAAAGGAGTTTGTAAAAGGGGGCGTGGCACACCCCATAGGCGCGGAAATTTTATCAGCTATATCTTCGGAACCATAAGTCTCACGAGCTTGAAATTTGGTATGCAGACATATCAATGGTAGGTGCTTATACGAGGGTGTATATAAACAAGTTTGTAAAAGGGGGCGTAGCATATCCCATAGGCGTGGAATTTTTTATCAGCTATAACTTCGGAACCATAAGTCCCACGAACTTGAAATTTGGTATGCAGACATATCAATGGTAGGTGCTTATACGAGGGTGTATATAAACAAGTTTGTAAAAGGGGGCGTAGCATATCCCATAGGCGTGGAATTTTTTATCAGCTATAACTTCGGAACCATAAGTCCCACGAACTTGAAATTTGGTATGCAGACATATCAATGGTAGGTGCTTATACGAGGGTGTATATAAACAAGTTTGTAAAAGGGGGCGTAGCATATCCCATAGGCGTGGAATTTTTTATCAGCTATAACTTCGGAACCATAAGTCCCACGAACTTGAAATTTGGTATGCAGACATATCAATGGTAGGTGCTTATACGAGGGTGTATATAAACAAGTTTGTAAAAGGGGGCGTAGCATATCCCATAGGCGTGGAATTTTTTATCAGCTATAACTTCGGAACCATAAGTCACACGAACTCGAAATCTGGTATGCAGACATATCAATGGTAGGTGCTTATACGAGGGTGTATATAAACAAGTTTGTAAAAGGGGGCGTAGCATATCCCATAGGCGTGGAATTTTTTATCAGCTATAACTTCGGAACCATAAGTCACACGAACTCGAAATCTGGTATGCAGACATATCAATGGTAGGTGCTTATATGAGGGCATATATAAATGAGGTTAAGAAAGGGTGTGTGGCACATCCCATAGGCGTGGAATCTTTTATCAGCCATAACTTCGGAACCATAAGTCACACGAACTTTAAACTTGGTATGCAGACATATCAATGGTAGGTGCTTATACGAGGGTATATATAAGCGAGTTTGTAAAAAGGGACGTGGCACATCCATAGGCGTGGAATTTTTTATCAGCCATAACTTCGGTACCATAAGTCCCACGAACTTGAAATTTGGTATGCAGACATATCAATGGGAGATGCTTATACGAGGGTATATCGATGGCTGAGTGGAAGATCGACCTATCTTGGCAGCCAGTTCGAAAACGCCCTATATCAGAAAATTTTTCAACATCGTTCTCTCTCAGAAAACTTTTTAAGAACGCCCTACTTCAGAATTTGATTGAAAAACACCCTACCTCAGAATTTGGTTGAATAACGCCCTATCTCAGCTGTCGATTCAAAAACGCCCTATCTCAGCTTATTTTCAATGTATTTCCGTTTGAGATAGGGCATTTTTGAACCGAATTCTGAGATAGGGCGTTCTTCAACAAAATTCTGAGATAGAATGTTTTTCAATAAAATTCTGAAATAGGTTTTTTTCAATAAAATTCTGAAGTAGGGCGTTCTTGAAAAGTTCTCTGAGATAGGTCGTTTTCGTACCGGCTGCCGAGATAGGTCGATCTTCCACTCAGCCATCGATATATAAATGAGTTTCTAAAGGGGACTTGGCACATCCAATAGGCGTGGAATATTTTATCAGCTATAACTTCGTAACCATAAGTCCCATGAACTTGAGATTTGGTATGCTGGTATAGCCATGGTAGGTGCTTATAAAAAGATAAATATAAATGAGTTTGTAAAATATGGCGTGGCAAATCTCATAAGCGTGGAAATTTTTATCATCTATAACTTCAAAACCATAAGTCACATGGAATTTAAATTTGGTATGCAGACATATCTATGGTAGGTGCTTATAGTAAGGTGTAAATGAATGAGTTTATAAAAGGGGGCGTGGCACATCCCGTAGGCGTGAAATTTTTATTCAGCCATAAATTGGGAACCATAAGTCACATGAACTTGAAATTTGGTATTCAGACATAGGTATCTATGGGAGGTGTTTAGAGTAAAGTATATATAATAATATAATAGATTGGCGCATACACATATGTTAGTGGTTGGCCGAGCTTCTTCTCCGATTTGTGGCGTGCGCCTTGATGTTGTCACACAAAGCGTTGGGACCTACAGTTTTACGCCGACTCCGAACGGCGATTGAATTTGTATGAGAAGCTGTTTTTCATGGCAGAAATACACTCGGAGGTTTGCCATTGCCTGCCGAGGAAAGTATATATAAATGAGTTTGTAAAAGGGGGATATACATATATGTATTCATCTATTAGATAACTTGGATATTTAAAACTGTGTGTGTTTTTTTTTTTAACCTTACCGTCTTTAGATTATTTTGAAATTAAATCGTTTTTTAGTACCGCGATGCTGTTAAACGAAAAAGGTTCATTCTTAATGAATAAAACTCCTTCCGAATTAAGCATTCTACCAGAAAAGTGCAGCTATACATAAAACGGCTAATCGAATAGGCAGCTAAACGGAATGTACCGTAGTAGAATAGTTTTAATTTAAAAATTTGAATCTTACCTTAATCCACCTAATATTAATAATGGAACAAGATTTGTAGTACCAGTGATGATCAATATATATTAGTTAAAGCACGATAAAGCTAAAAGTATAGCTCATAGGTATGCCTTAATGTAAACAAAGAAAATAGTTTGTCTCCTTTAATTTATGCTGAACTGAATATTTGTATTACTGTTTTATATTTTGGTTTGTTTACCCCGAACGATGCCGGGTGCTCTGCTAGTATATATTTTTTCCAAATTGTACATATATATGGGCCAATCCATACAAAATTTACACTAAAAATTTTTTTCCGCTCAACTTATTTTTCTTTTAATTATTTGGGTAAAAATATGATACACGTATTTTTTTATTTTAATTTGACACATACCGTTTACGAGATATATCATTTTGAACTTTAAGCATGCCAAAAAAGGGCTTTTTAATATATGCTTCCGCGCAAACAAGCATTTTAATAAAAAACAAACTCAATCATCGTACCATTTATGACTTTTTCTTGGCTTTCATATGAGGATTACGAGAAGTCGATACAATTATTTTTTAATACAAAAAATTAGCTATTAAAAAAATAATAAATTAAGTTTTTTTTTCAAATTTAGTAATGATTTTTTTTATTGAAAACTGTTCTTCAAATACTTAAGTAGGACCTGTAAAAATTTCAGAATGGGTAGTTCAAAATTACGCTTGTAATCAAATTTTAAACAACTGCGAAAGCGCTAAAAAACGCGCGCTCTCTTGGCGTGCAACATTTTTCTATGTACCGACTCGTAAGTATAACAGGCTGCATGCTCGCAGCTGAATTTCTTCGGCAATACATAAAAGACAAGTTCTGAATGTAGTTTTTTTATTAGGGTTCTAATTACGCCCTTCTACAATAATGAATATGAATATATACTTTTTATTTGCTTTACTATTACTTTATCATCAATAGGATGAAGAACAATTTCCGATTGTACTGCTAACAGATTTGAAAACTTGTCTTTATGTTATTATAGTTTGAGAGCCATATCAAATTAATATTATTGTACGGTAGATAACACACGTAGATAACACAGGCCGACATTTTTCAGACCCTGGGATGAGCTTACACTTTTCCAAAGGTTTTTGATGCGTTGAATCTGAATCCAGAATCAGTTTTGCTCGATTGGCTCCGGTTTTCCAGATATTTGAGCCTAAAAGTGCGAAAACCCCGACTTTTTGCTATATTCGTCATGTATTTTCATCAAGAATAGCTCGTTTTTTTAGAAAATTAGTAAATCATTTGAAAGTAAAATATTTCCCATTGATAATTCTGTTTAACTCAACGAGATATCTTGTTTTAAACCTGAGATATTGTCCATTGAAGTTTATGAGTTTTGCGACGTTACTTCTTTGCACAAATGCTTGAAAGATACAACACGAAAAGAAACAGATTTGTGGTATACGCTTAGGCGTCTTTATTTACATAATGAATGTATGTGTATATTATTATGTATATTATATATCATGTATATCATATCTATATATATAAAAATGAAATGTTTTTCGTATGACCGCGATGTCTGACCAAACGGCTGAACCGATTTCAATTCTGTAAAAAGCACATTTTTGGACCTTCTGTGTGGAATGTTTTTTGATTTAAAAAAATTTGAAATTTTTTGTTGTTACCGAAAAATGAAGAAAGCTGAGACGTCACCATTTCACAATTACATAGAGTTTTCCGTAAATTTAATGTCAGTAAACTACTAAACGGCTGGCCCGATTTCGTTCATATTTGGAACATATGTCAGCACCTTGAAGGCAAATATTTCGACTAAAAATTAATCGCTAGGTGGCGCTGGGGCCGGGATATTCATAAAAATTACATTTACTTGCCGATTTAGCTCATATTTAGAAATGTTAGCCAATTGAAAATAAATTTTGGGACTAAATTTGTACACGATAGGTGCACTGGGGTAGGAATATTTCTAACGTTCTTATACAGTGGGAGAATGATGGATATCTACACATATACATATGTACGTTACAATAAAATGTTGAAATCCCTTTTTTGAGGGAACTAATATATCTCTTAAACCAACTACGCGGGAGAACTGAAATTTGGCACGGATGCATAAATTGTAAAAACCTTACGCCAACGTCCTGAAATTTGAAACAGCTACATATGTTATCAATACCGAACATATGGCGAAAATTGGCGGGTATAGAAAAAGGGGGCGTGACACCTCTCATATAAACTGAACTTCTCATATTGCTTATGTCTGGAACCGCTTATGCTAAAGTTCTNGTTATGCATACTTGGCATTGCTTGAGAGTTGTCACATAAGGAATCTATTAAATGAGCTTCGCGTGTAAGCTGTTACCCAACGCACAGCATTACATACGTAAAAGTCTGTTGGTTTTTGATTTCTACGTAAAAATGGTATAGCAGTGCATGCAATGCCAAGTATGCATAACAGAGCCTTTACTTGCTGTCTTCATTAGGTACAGCCATCGCAGGAGATTTGTCAGTTTCATCGCAAGCGAAATGCTCATCGCAGAGAAATTTTGGTACTTGGGCATGCCATCGCAGAAGATTTCATTTTAAAAAGTGCTTACGACACATAACTAAAATTACTGTATTCGCAAAAATAGCTTTTTCCACGTTGTTTTGAGCATATATATAACAGAAAAACAGAACTTCATAAAAATTTAAAGTTATAAAAGCTCTGAAGCTAACTATTTAACAGTTCATCCTTGCGATGAGTGGTCTACACAGGCCAATCATCGCGTACGATCTATTGCAAAAGATGAACAATCGCTAAATGGGGACAGCAAGTTACGTCTGAAAGTGGCAGTTATTGCAATGGCTGCACCTATATATGTACATTAGGCTGGGTCGATTTTGTATGGGGGAAAATAAAATACATTTGACCGTATTGTAATAGTAATATTATGATGTCTTATGTCTAAGCCAATTGTTATTGGCCACGAAAGATTAATTTAAAACGTATCTTTAGCCCGCGCAATTGAATCAAAATGTATGAATTTTGAAAATGAAACTTTGGCTTGTAATATCTATGGAATGCGTAAATTGTTATAAACAGGACGATATATCAAATTAAGGGCTATTAAATTTAGTACCTCACGTTCATTTATCATTTTTCAATAAGTCTCCAAGTTTTTAAGATATTAAGATAAAACTTACAAAAACTATAATTTTCCCTTATGAATTTTCAATTCTTCATTACTTCAGCAACCAAGTGAAAAATACAAAAAAGTGAGACGCGATTTATTTCAAACGTTTTAATGTTTTCGTATGTTTATATAATATTAAAAGGACCATGGGCTTGGTCACGCCGATTTGGTCAGTTTTCAAGATCGTGGTGAATGAAATCAAACATGTATTGTCAAAGTTTATGAATCGTTTGATAAGTTAATAGTAGTTTCAAGCATATAAGTATTTACAAACATTAACATAATACAATTAGGGTGAGAAACGCACACTTTAAGTCCATTTATGTTGTCTTGAAAATTGGTGCGGAATGGTTTCATTAGTCACCGAAGAAGCACATTTTTCGCGGTTTCTAAATTTGCCGTTATATGAAGGTAGGGGAGGGGCAATAAGTGTTTAGATATACAAAAATATTTTAGTTAACTCCATTATGTGAGAAAGTGACTGTAGATAAATGCAATAGTCTTTAACATATCCGGGGAAATCCTTTTGAGGACTCTCCAATTGGACGATATTGCTTTGCATTCAGCTTGAACGAAAAAAGTCACTCCCTGGCACACTTTTCTGCAATCCGGTTCTTTCATTTAAAGGTTATTTATACAATTGAAGAGTAATTTTTTTAGAAAAAAAAAGCTTAAGTTTTTCTATATAACTTTGGTAAATGTTACTCGATCGGTACGTAATAATTACCAAATTGAAGGCGAGACTTACTGTTACTGATTTATGATAAGAATATGATGAAAATCGTTCAGATTATAAACAAATTATTTTAAAATAAAAAAAAATTTAAAAAAAAAATTTTAATTTTCCTACATTTACAATTTTTCTATGGTATGCATAAACATATGTAAACTAATTAGTGTTTCTAGAAGTTGTGCCTATTCAGTGTTTCCATACTCATTTGCATAAACAAAATTTTTCCACGATGATGGAAAATAATGGCTTTTCTATTAGAGTTACCGAAATTGTTCCTAAATTTGCAAAAATTCGCAAACTATAGCTAATATTACAACAAGATTAGAATATTTGGAACCAGCGACCTAAATGAACGCCAGCAATATTAAAGCTGTTCTTTACATCGTTCGACTATAGACCAGTGCAATTATCAAGAGAACAATTAAAATTTTATTGAAAACAGATACCTTTGAGATTAAGCATAAGCTAAAGGGCTGCGAGAAATGATATTTGACTTTATCTTCTGCGTTAACGGATTCATTATCTAAAAATATGCACCAAACCTTTTTGCTGAACCCAGAATTTTTAACAAGAATTGGTCTTATTCGACTAGTGTGCTGTGGGTCACTTGGCGGTCGATGCGCGGGCTCTTACAATTAAAATAAAAGACTAATATTTTGCAGGCTTGTTGTTCACTTCATGATACAATATATTTTCACTATTACCAAGGGATTTGAGAAAAATTAGATTTTCGACCCGCCCTAATGTACATATACATATACTACGTTTAAACGTAAGCTATTTGCAAATACCTAACTCACTGTTTATTCGATGGTGAAAAATTCTTTTTTAATATTGCCTGAATATAAAAAGGCAATAATATGACCATCGAAAAGGAAAATAAAGCTAAAAATGGCAACTTCTTGATTATAAAAAGGCAATAAGATGACCATCGAAAAAGAAAATTAACCTAAGAATGGCAGCGTCTTTAGCTTATTTGCAAATAGTACCCCTAATCAATACTTATTTGCGTGATTTAGTTATTTGCAAATAAAAAATTAACTCAGCGTTTATACGGCAAAGTTTACCATTTTGCAAATTGTTATTTGCAAATAATGCTTGCGTATAAACGTAGTAATAGATAGGCAAGCATCATTCGACTGGGAACCTTTTTCTCCTAGATTTTAAAATTGCATTGAGCGATTATTACTTTCTCTTTAATTTTTGGGAAAATGTAAAATTTTTTTGTGAAAATTTTGAATTTTTTTTTAAATTTTCCACAAAGTATGCAATTTTAATTTGTAAGAGTTTCGTTATAGGCTGTCCTATCTACATACATATGTAGTTACATATGTCCATAAAATGGTAGCTGTTTTTGTCGTTCGGACTGAACCCAAAAATCACTGGATAGAGTTCAGTCAAACGGTCGGTGGTTATACCGTTCACATATGGTCCTATTATGAACTAACTACTAGAAAACTTCGCTTGGTGGCACTGGAGTTGAGTCATTTATAAGGGTCATATTTATTGACTGATTTCGTTCAAATTCGCAATGGGAGCCTCCTGTATGATGACTTTGTTTGCAAGAAATGGATCTGCTGGGTGGCGCTTGAGGCGAGATATTTAGAAAATCCTTATTTTTAATACAACCTGCTTGGAATTTATAATACGGAATAATTTCATGATAAGCAATAGTTTTTCAGAAAAGATACCCAAGGATGGCGCTGCAGCCTTAGTATATAGAATCCCCATGGGTTTGGCCTTCTTTGGCCCTATGTTTATTTTATATGAATTTACTTTTCAGATGGCCAAATGAAATTGTGTAAGCGCACCTTTACCTCACGCCCTCATACACCCTTAATGCGATCTTGCATTTACCTCTGATTAACGAAATTGCTCGGTGCGGCCGTTATTGCAGCAGTAAGACTCAAAGAAACCAGTTCATAAATATTAAGACGAATTTTAAAAGTGGCGAATTGACAAAGAAAGATTCGACCACATCCGTCGGTTGGTATATCAATGACTTCATTTGAACGATATTCAAGAGATCACACTACTCATTTAGCCAATGTACGGGAAAACTTTTCATCCTGTGGGGCAGCGAGGATTCTTGACCCTCTTATAACAGAAAACGCTCATCAGTTCTCTTAGGCTTCCTTATAAGGACTTTTATTAGCTTCCGCATCGGACCAATGTGGTAGTTGCAAGACCAAAGGAGATTATACACGCTTGGTAGAGATTTCACAGCTGGAAATAAGACCATCGCCAAAGCTCATGACATCGAAAGGGATTAGTATTCCATGTCATCAAAGCGCTACTATTTTTGGCCTATGCATGAGAGGGATTCTGCTCTTTAGTCGTAAAATTTTGTTTTTACTTTACATACAGTTTTTTCTTCTAAACGCTATTTTTGCATTGGCCCACGCAAAAGTTCTTATTAGGTGCCGCGAAGCAAGCGAGCACTGGTTAGTATCATATATATATGTATGTACATGTATATTATATGTATATCAAATGAAATTCATAGAGAATTTCTCATGCATTAATTTCTTCGTTAAATTCTTAAACGAAACAAGTTTTCTCTATGCACGCGCAATCGGGTTTTTCGTATGTTTAGGCCCAAATATCTCGAAAACCTAAGCCAATCGAGCAAAACTGATTTTGGATTCAGATTCAGCGCAACGAAAACCTTTAGAAAAGTATAAGTTGTAGGCCTGTGTAATTTCTTTGCTGCGCTGCTAATATACATATGTACATACATACATACGTATATAGCCAGCTACATATTTAGTGCTACTGTACTCCACTTTCATACCCTGTAGGGAAACCGCGGACTAGTGAATCAAATTTCTAGTTCCGTACTAGGTCTTTATCGCCAAAAACGAACTAGTCCGATAGGAACTAGATGCACACCAGTCCAAAATCGGCGAAAAGTGGTACTTTTAAAAAAATAATTTTTTTCAGTTTTTTTCATTTGAAATCTATATCTAAAGTGACGAATTTAGAAATAGTTCGGAACTATAGAAAAAGAATGCAGAACGAACTAGATCTTATTTGTCGAATTTAGAACCAGTTCGGAACTATCGAAAAAAGGATGCAGCGGGGGGTTTGTTTACTTTACATAGATATGTGTTCGGGGGCTTTTTCGTTCAAATACGCTTATATTCTGTGCTTCGCAGATGCTTTTTCATAGCTTGGTAATACAAAACTAAAATTTGTGTTAACATTTCAACATCTTGGGACAGTCTGGAATCTAAGAAATAACAGCGAGCACCTCTGCAAACTCAGCTACAGCTAAAGGTATGTAAACGTACATTTCTTACAATCATTCAAACAAATTTCATTTCAAATTGAAAACACATTTCTTCCAAAATAACTTAAAATCGCACACACGGAAGAACACACACGGAAAAGATTGAAAAAATCATGATACTATTTTCTTTCGTCTGTCGATTTTAGAAATGGTTCGAAACTATAGAATTTAGGACTAGTTCGGAACTATTGAAAAAGGGGGGCAATTAACACTTTCTAGGACATCGCCATGTTAAATTCGCCAGTTGCTTGCATGCAAAAGAGATTTATCGCGAACCAGTATTGGGTCTAAATGTACTAGAAGCGCACCAGTTCAGAACTAGAGATTTTCCCCACAGGGTACATACGCTACGTATGTACATACACAAGTACATACATAGTTATTACTATTGCGCTTCGCGTTGATATTTACCATTTCTGGTAAATGCTTATATACATATTAAAAAAAAAAAAACACATGTACATACCCTGCAGAGAAACCGCGGACTAGTGAATCAAATTTCTAGTTCCGTACTAGGTCTTTATCGCCAAAAAGGAACTAGTCCGATATGAACTAGATCCCACCAGGCCAAAATCGGCGAAAAGTGGTTCTTTTAAATTACTAATTTTTTCAGTTTTTTCACCAGAAATCGATATCTAAAGTGGCGAATTTAGAAATGGTTCGGAACTATAGAAAAAGGGATGCAGAACGAACTAGATCTTATTTGTCGAATTTAGGACAAGTTCGGAACTATCGTTTAAGGGATGCAGCGGGGGGCTTGTTCACTTTACATAGATATGTGTTTGGCGGCTTTTTCGTTCAAATGCACTTTCATTCTGCACTTCGCAGATGCTTTTTCATAGTTTGGCAATACAAAACAAAACTTTGTGTTAACATATTAACATCTTGGGACCGTCTGGAATCTAACAGCGAGCACCTCTGCAAACTCAGCTACAGCTAAAGGTATGTAAACGTACATTTCATACAATCATTCAAACAAATTTAATTTCAAATTGAAAACACATTTCTTTCAAAATAACTTAAAATCGCACACACGGAAGAACCAAAAAGATTGAAAAACCATGATACTTTTTTCTCTCGTTCCTTCGATTTCAGAACTGGTTCGGAACTATAGAGTTTAGGACTAGTTCGGAACTATCGGAAAAGGGATGCAGCGGGCGGCAATTGACACTTCCTAGGATATCGCCATGTTAAATTGGCCAGTTGCTTGCATGGAAAAGAGATTTATCGCGAACCAGTATTGGGTCTAAATGTACTAGAAGCGCACCAGTTAAGAACTAGAGATTTTCCCCACAGGGTATGTATATTCGTGTAATTTTAACTAAACCATCGGTGTGTGCAGACGTGCTTTTATTCGCTCTGGTGTTTTTTTTATCGTATTTCTTCGCAATGGATAACTTTTGCGGGAAATGTAATAAATCTTTCTCAAGATCTGACGCTAATCTGTTGCCGTGTAATGGATTTTGCAAAAAAACTTTCCACCGTGCGTGCTGTAAAGAAATGTCTGAATATGATATGAATTTGATCAAAACAAAACGTAATTTGCTATATCTTTGTGAAGAGTGTGTTTTTATGCCGGAGAAACTCAGTAAAGCTCTCGATGCAGTTCTTGTTACTCAAAAGCTCAGTGTTGATTTAATTTCAACCGCCTTTGAAACTAAATTTAAAGATTTAGTGAAGCAATTTAATGATCTAAAAGAATTAATAATTTCTTTGCATTCGGAAATCAACAACTCCAATGCAAATAACCTAAAAAATCAGTTTGATGATTTGAAGAAATTTGTTGGTGCTGAGCTAAAAATTCACTCTGTTGGCGAATCGCATAATGCAGTCGTTTCTCAAGTGGCTGAACTTCGTTCGTTGTTGTCTGACGCCACTGCTGTTGCTGCCTCTGCTTCACCTTCCCCCGGTCGAGTTGATGATCAGATTAATGCTAGTGCTGTAAACGTTCGTTCTTCGGCTGTCTCTGCTGCTCACGCTAATATCGCTCGCCTAACTTGGGCTCAAGCGGCTGCTGGTTTATCGCCCTCTGCATCCCCATATTCCAATCTGCCTACTCCTGCTAATGGCTGCATTTCGCTGCCTGTTACATGTATGCCGTCGG